GTAGGTTGATAATGGCAAAAGTATCAATTTATTTGTATAAATATATAAAAAAATATTAAAACAAAAATTATAAATTGGCTACAGAATGTATGCATTTGACATAATTATCAGATTTATTTAAGCTTGAATAGAATCCATAATAAAGGATTGTATTTTTGGTGATTAAAAAAAATATATAATTTTAACAAATTAAGATTGGGAAATGAGTACAACAGGAGGTACTGCTCTATGTGGTTCACAGATTATTACTTCAATTAATTTAAAAAATTTAAGGCGCAATCGCCTTCTCATAGTTATAGTAGTTTTGGCATGCGTTTACCTTGCACAATGGGATAGCATCAAATCATTTGCAAAAAAAACTAATTCAGTTTTTCGTTTTCAATGGCTTTTCATTTATTCGTGAAAATTCACTTCTTAGCTACCGAAATATTTCGAGATCTTCTCGATTTTCTTGCAGTATTACTCCAACATTTTCCAGATTTACGTTTTTTTAAAACGTTAGATTTTACTCTCGTTTTAGTTTCGTGTCTATTAGTTCGCTTTGGGGTTAAATTAAATTCCTTAAGTTTTAAATAGCGATCATTGTCGTTGAATGTTTCCGGTTTATTAGGATCGAAGGGTTGATGATAATGAACGGTATATTGCGATTGAACTCTTCTTGGTATCTCCATGCTTACTGTATCCGAATGCAAAGAAGACAAAGTTTCCAATGTTATATTGCTATTAGATATATCTTCTTGATGTTCTGAAGTTAGTGGCACTGTTTTAATTGGTTGTTTAAGATTTGGCTTATTGAGGTCCAACATTTTTTCTTCGTTAGATACGCCTACAATATTATTATAAAAGATTGAAAAATCTTTAAAAACTGTTCTGAAATTTTTCAAATTTTTACGGCGATTTTTATTTGTTTTCTTATGAGGAATTTTAGTGGTATTAAAAGGTTCCATTATAGTTGCTTTCTGTAGTTGTCTTGAGTCCAAAGTTCCTTTAGTAATAAGTTTTGTTGTTAAATATTCTCCTAAATAACCATCTCTTGCCTTTTCAAATAGATCATCAATTCTACATCTTTCAATTCTAGAATTTTCTTTAGAATCATTTAAGTTATCATTCGGAACACGATGTAACCTTAAACTTAACTTACTCTTATTTGTTGTTATGTTTTTATCCTCTTTTCTGCTATTTTGTTGAATATTATAGCATATGTTTTCATGTTCCCCTAAAGGCAAATTCCACGATGCCAATGGTATTTTTCGCCACTTGTATGAACAACTATTATATTCGTTCTTAAGGCAATATTTACACATTTATATGGTTTTGTTATTGAATTGTTTTTTCGAAAATAAATATGCCAAAAATTTGTTGAGATTAATTTTGAATTTTAAATAAATTAAAAGTAAAGATAAAAGACAAGTAAGAAAGTATAGTCGGGCGTGATCGACCATAAGATACCCTACACCAGTTATGAATATTAAATGTGATTTATTTTTCAAAATAAAGCGTTTATCTTCAATATTACCTTCTTCTGATACATTTAAGCAATTTATGGATGAAAAACTAATTTTCTAAAAGAGGCTTTATATGGGGGCTAGGAGCAAATATGGACCAAACCCGATCAAATTTTGTAAATATATTTATATTTATATAGTATTTATTTGTGCTGAATTTCATCGAGATTTTTGTGTTTATAAGTCAATTTTGGACATTCAAGTAATTTTCTGAAGGGAACTTTGTATGGGAACTAGGGTCAAATGAGGCCCGATCTTTATGAAATTTGGCAAGGTCATCAAGGCTCGCATAAAACTTAGTTGTGTCGCTTTTTATCGATATACACGTATATTAAACATAATTATGAGCTCAGAAGCCCTTTTCGGGGGGTTCTGTTGTATGGGGGCTAGGTGAATGGACCGATTTTAATCATTTCCAATAGGCATCGTCTTTGGGCCATAGAAAGCGTGTGTGCCAAATTTCATCCAATTATCTTGAAAATTACGACATGTACCTTGCGCACAAGGTTTACAAGGCTTAATCGATTCAAAAAACGGTTCTAAGCCGATTGATATACTTTAAGGTGGGTATAGGACGAATATTTTTGTATGTTACAAACATCAGCACAAAACCCAATATACCCTCCCCACTAAAGTGGTGTAAGGTATAATTAGGGTGTACATATTCTAAAGTTTTACTACTTATCGGTAGTAGATCCCCATTAGTATATAAATATATATATTCTAATGGCTCCGCTTAAGTGGCCGATAAACATTTTAAATTGTTTGGTGTTAAAAATTATTGATATATGTTCAATCAAATCAGTTCATAATTGACACTATCCATTATGTTTATAAGGTCAACATCCGCAAAACAGTTATAAATGACTAATAAATATTAGTATCGTTATGTTATTGTCAAATCTTGGTTGAGCCCAAACTCTAATATTTTATGGGAATCGGTTTAATAAAGACTCTAATATATACATAAATATTTTAATGGACGCTGTAATTAAAAGTCTGTTGAAAATAAGTTTTAGCCAAAATGAGATGAGATCGTCATGCCGGTACCATTTGTATGGCGGCTATAGCAGCTGAAGTCGATAGTATTAACTTCAAGCTCAATATTGATCAGAACAAATCGAGCAATATTTAGATTTGTTATGTACCTAAGTTACCGTTAAATATCGATTCTATGCGTATAATCGTTGTGCGTTTTTTTTTTCAAGATAAAGGTATATTTAACATAATTATAAGCAAAGTATAACATTATAAGCTTAAAAGCACTATTCGAGTTCAGTTGTATAGGGCTAAATTAAATTATAAACCGATTTTAATCCTTTCCATAGTATTCATCCTTTTGAAATTTGGCGTACCTACCAAAGTTCATCAAACTATCTTACACATTGCAATACGCAAGCTTAACATAGCCATCCAGCCAGTAAGCCGGACAGAGCGACTTAATCGACTCAGAAAAGATACTCTTTGTCTTTTATTTCTGAGGCTCCTGGCAACACTGTTTCTGAGCGATATAATACCTAGAATAACATCGCACTCAAGATGTTTGGATCTAATTTCGATGAAAGCTGGGCAATGACATATAAAGGGATTCATTGTATTGACATTTAGGCCACATGATTGAGTTCCCCTCGGTGCTGCTGAATAAATAATTTGGAACCTTGAGCCTTAGAAGTATTACAACATCGTATGTGACTTATCTCAGTCTTTATACATATATAAGCTATGTCCGTCTGTCAAGAATTCTGTCAGACATACTTTCGAGAAGTTTCCTATTTCAAATCAGCAAAATCGGTCCATAAATAAAGGAGATATAAACAAAAATCTGAGAGAACCTCGGAAAAAAAGAGCCATATACGGACACCACTACGTGATAATAATTAAAAAAAAGTTTTGACGAAAATCATGCATTTTTTGCAGAAAGAAAGTGTTAATTTTCTCAGATTCATATCTTGCAAATCGTTCGTAATTTTGATTTACTCTCTGAGACATAGTTGTAGCTCTTGTCATAAAAAACATTGTGAACATATAAAATCAGAAAAACTTCATCTTCATTTTATTCATTTCAAGTGGAAAGTTTTACATTTTAAAATTGCACTGCTTTTTAGCGACACCTATACGTATACGTGTTAACTAATTATTGATATTATAAATATTAAGTATACGCCTAATTTAGAGATGCACTTGCAATATTGTTAAAGTTCCGAACAGTTTGCATAATATTTCAGATTGTTGTTATTATCTTGGCTTTATGCGATATTTAAAAAAACCTGGTGGTGATTCCACCATGATGATAGATGCTGCCTTACCATCATCAGCCACAATGATAAATAATATAGGCTTTAAAGAACCATGAACTAAAATTGGTACTAAAGAATGAAGTTTTTCTTAAAAAATAATTTTATAATATTTTATATTTTCTCTTACTAAGGCATTTCTGTGAGGGATGCCTCAGACAGTGTGGTCTCTATGAGCGCCATGGTCTCTAGTGTTTCCAATGGATCCACTGTTCAATCTGTTATACGCTTATCTTTAAGATCTACTTTAAAAAAAAACTTGAGCAAGAACAGAAAACGCCTTGGTTATACAAATTCCCTGCTACTCGGGGTCAGGTTATTAACCACCCATGAGACATATTGTTAGTGTTCAGAAAGTGTGCATACAAATACACAGCGTGGAAGTTCAGAATTTCATAGTGATATTAGTGTTTATAAGTGAATTTTTAACATCAAGTAATTTTCTGAAGGTGACTTTGTTTGGGGCTAGGGTCAAATGACGCCCAATAATTACGAAAATCGGTAGTATTATTTATACTTATACAAAACTAAGCCTTGCTGATTTTAGTAGAAATACAAGAACATTTAACAAATTTATGAGCTCAAAAGCACTATTCGGGGGTACGGTTGTATGGGAGCTAGGAGAAATAGTGGACCGATTTTTAACTATTTTCAATAGGCTTTGTCCTTGGAAGAGAAAGAAGAGTATGTATCAAATTTCACCAAATTGTCTTGAAAATTGCAACCTGTATCGTGGATACAAGGTTTACATGGACACGCAGACGGACAGACAAATAGACAGACAGACGCACACCACTGTAGTGGTGTAGGGTATTAACGTAAGGGCCCACAGTGGGGCAGAATGGAAATTTTTTGGAAATAAATCTGGCATTTCTAAACGGCTGATCCGATCGGGATAAAATTTGGCGTGAGCGTAGCCAAGGAGTATTTGAGTTTAAGTTTTGAAGATGAACCCTGCAGATGCCCCAGGGACGGCGCTGTGGCGGCTCAAAGTAGGGTACCTACGACATGTAAAATTTTTAAACTCGTGCCATTTTTTTGTTTTTCACCCAAATACAAAGATTTTTATATTTTGTGAAAGCGCTCGACGAGATCTTGAAAAAACATGCTTGGACATACTACTTATCTCTTATAATATCCGAGTTATAGGCATTTAAAAATTTAGTGATACAAAATTTACCATACCTTGGTCCGCCTTTTTTTGAATACCGGGCGTAATTTTGGACCAAATGGACTCAATTTTTTCTTGTTAGTTAGACAACAAAATTTCCAATAATATACAAAAAATTTCAGATCAATATTGTTTACAGATCCAAAAATATACGTTTTTTAATCTAAAAATTCAAAAAATTTTAGATTTTTGGCGTTTTTTTTGCCAAAAATGTGTCTTAACTCTTTTATTAATAAAATAAAATTTTTATTAAGAACATATAACAATTTTATAGTTTTCTAAAAGGTATCTTTACGCAGAACGCTTTGGCGTAAAAAACTTGTCCTATTTTTTGAAAATGTTGCCACTGCGTCCTTCCGAATATGACCTATTTTTTATCAAAACTTCAACTTTGGGCGACATGTTCTAAAATCCCAAAGCTGGGTTCAGAAAACTGAAAGCAGTTTTGGAAACCTCAATATGTTTTCTATTTACTCCAAAAGTATTTTCCCAGCCCTGAAAGAAATGTGGACCCTATGGGCAAAAAAGTAAAAAAATCCCATTTTTGGGATTTTCATTCCTATTTTTGGGAATTGCGGGATGCCCTTTGACCTTTTCAATTTTTTTTTTGCATATTCTTATTTGAAATGACAAAATTTAACAAGCGTTGAAAATTTCATTGAGTTTTGTTCATAAATAAAGATTTTGTCATATATTACATATTTGTTTAATTTCTAAAACTATGATTTATATCAAAATTTTAATATTGTCGCAGATAGCTACAACAATTTAGTCCATATTTATCCCTTAATATCATTTTTTAGTTGGATATGGAAATTTGCGACCCTTTACAAAAAATTTCAAGCCAATATCTCAATTACATTCAAAAATATGTTCATTTAAACCTGTGTCCTTTAATTTCATCTTTTTCGTATTTTAGTATTAAGTATGACAGAACATACATTTGGTGTTGAATAAAATATTTGGACAATTTTTAAAAATTATTTAGTTAATTATTTTATTAAAGACTATAACATTGTATATACAATAAAAAAATTATAATTTTATTATGAGCCACGCACAACAACAACCTTTCCCGCCCACCGAAACATAAAACACAATTTAATACAATATCATCAGTTAGTATAATAGCTATTTTTATTTGAACTGTTTATCTTAAATATAATACAATTAATTCTTACAACCTACATATATAGTTAATTCCTAACACTACTTATTTTCTATAAAATAATCTGTCATATCGGTATACATATCCAGAAGGTAATATAAGTCCTTTAAATCTTCCTTGTTTTGAGATGATAGAGTTTCATAACAAATCCATCTTTTTCGCATAGTTGAAAGAACAGGATCAGAAGATAGAAGTAAACTATTAAAAATATCTTCATTCTGTGATTGCCTGGAGCATTCTCTTGAGCTGAATAGTT